GAGTGCTAGAGCAATCTCTGTATTATTAAAATCATGGACAGGAATTATATTTCTTTGTAGAGACAATAAGCAAGCGATAAAATCTATTGTGGAATCGCTCAGGATAACTTCGGATGAAACGAGGGTCAGTAGGTGTACGGTTTACATAAAAAATTTATTATTTATTATCTGTTAAATATTGGGCTATTTATGACCAAGATCTCTTATCCGATAGAAATTTTTTATAATCCATAGGAAATCATGCTTGAGATGTTTTTCGACATTTTCAGGATAAAGACTCCAAAGTGGTATCCTAATTTTTTATCCGGGAAAAGGATATCTGGTAAGATAATTTTTTAAAAAACTTTTTTACTGTAATACATTTGATTGTCTAAATAATTTATTTATAGGACATAATTAAGTATTTAAGTCTTAATTTTGGAATATTATATAATTATTATTATAGTATATGGTCATCCTGAACAAAAAGATAATAATAATGGCGAGCCACCACCTTCATCTACAAATGTTCATGACAGATTAAATTTATTGGACCATCATTTAGTTATATTACTTGACATATTTATGGACTCTGGGCTTCTTGATGTATGTAATAATTATTTAATATCTTAATACTAAATATTTACAAAAATTTTGAATAGAATTTTTTTTTTTTTTTTTTTGAAAAAAAAAAAATTGTAGGCACTTGTTGAAATTATTGAGGACAAAAATCAACAAGTTGCTCGCAAGGCTACACTTTTTATTGGAGAAATTCTTCAATTGTCAAATAGATTATTATCAGTGTCACGTTCAATCCGAATTCAAGTAAGCTGTTTTTATGTTTGGAAGTTACAACATTTCATTATTTTTTAGTTTATAAAAATTAATTGAAATTCAGTCTCTACCGAGGCTTTTTAGTTTAGCTACAAAATTTGACGATGAGATCGTACGACATAGTGCTACTGCTGCTCTTTCACATATCGATAATTTAAATAGAACACGAAATAGGTTGCAAATCAGTAGTATAGATAATGATTCATCACCTAACCCTCGGAGTCGTAATGCTCGACAGGTTGAAAATGTAAAGATTAAGATGGGTATGCAAATTGATGATAAACATTTTATGAGTATGCTCATGGAGTCACAGGTTTGTGGAATTTCTAAAAGTAAAGATGAATATTTTATCCACTAATTTCTAACTCGAGATTTTATAGGTCTTAAATACAAAAGATGGTAGAAAATGGGACTTTGAAATTTTGATGGAATTGTTGCAAGGTCCATTGCTTAATCCACGAAGGTTGGAAGAGTCGATTAAATCTAAGTTTATAAAACGTCTAATTGGATTTTTCCGGCCGACTAGTCGAAGGTTCTCTGAGATAGAGAAGACTGCTGTAATTATTTTGATGGAATTTATTTTCTTTTGATTAAATCACAATTAAGAAAAAAAATAATGATCGAGCTGTGTTCTTGTATAAATAGGAAAACGAAATATTTGTAACATTGGGGTGCACTCTTGTATCTACACTATTAGCATGTAGTGATGGTGTAAGATATTTAGAAAATAACAAGTTCTTGAGACAGATCGCAGATGGTCTAAACCAACTTGATCCCGTATGTGATTTTCATTATAACTGAAAGATTTATGTAACGTGGTATTAATTTTTAATAATGACCTTTACCAAGATTAATGGGACTTCTGAATCCGAACCATTGTTTTCTAAAGAACGAATAAATAATACGCTCACATCTGGATATTTTACCATCTTAGGGTATTTTAGCAAGTATAAAGAAGGTGTTAGGTTTGTTTCTTGCATATGTACACATATACTTATTTTTTTGCTTAATAATTTATTTTGCTAATTATTCACTACATCTTGTCAATATAAGATTATTGGAAAAGTTCAAAATTTTCAATACGTTTTATCATTTAAGTGAACTGAGAAGTCGCGAAGATTTGATTAAAGCTATTATCACGAATCTGGATTATAGTCTGTACGTTGTTCCAAAAAATAATTTAAAGAATAAAAACAATCTTCTTATAAATAACTAACATAATTAATTTTATCTAATTAGAGACGGGCATCCACGCATTCTTCTTTCCAAAGTGATGACGTCAGGTTACAAGGTGATTAGATATATATCGAATCCAATCATATTCTCTTTATCTTTACCAAAATATATATATATATATATTTTTTTTTTTTTTTTTTTTATTTATTTATTTATTTATTTATTTATTTATTTTTCTATTTATTTATTTTTCCTTTTCTTTTTCTTTTCAAAAATAACATTAGTCTTGAATTACCTTTTTTATTAAAGTTACAATGTACTCACATCTCCACTTTACTAAATTTATTATATCATTAACTTTGTATAGCGTGTAAGGTTATATGCGACAAAGCATTTGGGTCAAATCTTAAGGACGTCATCGAAAAAGTTTAATGAATGGGGAATACAGTTACTTATCACCCAGGTTTGTAATAAATTTCTGATTAATAATTTAGCCTTATAGTTATTAAATTTTTTATTAACATATTTAGTTATACGATCCTGCTATGGAAGTATGTCAAATGGCGGTTCGTGTTCTTGAAGAAACCTGTAATCACAAGGAAAATATTGAATCGCTAGTTATGCTTCGACCGAGCCTGGATCATTTGGGAGAAGTTGGAAATCCTTTATTGTTAAGATTTTTGTCTACTTCAACAGGATTCAAATACCTTTCTGAATTCGACTATGTCGAAAGAGAAATGGATGAGTGGTTCCAAGTAAATTTTAAATCATATTATAAGTAATGATACTTGCAGTTTCTAATAATCACGTCTTTATATTTACAGAGCCGAAATCAATATTATGTTACTCAAGTAGAAGTGATGTTGTCAACAGCGTTAAAACTTGGCGGAGTTGATAACCGTTTCGACGATGATGACAAAATGTTAGAGTATGATTTTAAAACAATTAGCGTATTAATATAGTAGTATATATTGCTTATTGATTTTATTATCACATTAAATAGGCAGTCATTTGATGGAATGTCACCACCTCATTTTTATGGTGAACTTGCAAAAACTATTGAAGGCTGTCAATTATTAAGAGAAAAGGGACATTTTCGTGAGTTCGCAAATTTTGTGAGAGCGCACAAATTAGAATCTCGTGACGCATCTTATATAGCAAAACTTAAGTCGATTCTCTGGGCCGTGGTAAGTAGGATTAATTTGAAATTATAATGTATGTTATCATCGTTCAGTTTATATTTAATATTACATTCTATAATTCTAGGGGAATATTGGATCATCAAAAAGTGGATTACAATTTTTAGAGGAAGAAGATATAATTAAGGATATAGTGTTCATTGCAGAAAATTCCTCAGTCTTATCTTTGAAAGGGTAAAATTATTGTAATCCCACCAACGTTATTAAATTATGGCATTAAATTAACCTTTTATTATGTGGACTATAGGACATGTTATTTTGTTTTAGGGCTAATAACAAAAACTGCGTCAGGTATTGAAATGTTGGAAGAACTTGGATGGGAGTGTGTATACGACGCTAACACGGGAATAGGGACTGGTTTATGTATACCTGTAAATTCTCAAGCATTCCTATCTGTAAGTGTATTATATATTCTTTTTTAATAATAGTAATATAATAGTATTATGATAGGTTTATTGATAATATATTTTTGTTTTATCATCACTAGTTTCCTCAATGGACGTACACGGGGTTTGAAGCAGCTCTTGATACACCATCAAAACCTATAATACCGAGTTCACAGGTTGAAAGAAATTTATTAAAAGCGATGGCAAATTTAACGAATCGAATATTATCAAATGCTGGCTCACGAAGTCTTTCAAAGTAAGTGACAAATATTTTAAAATATATTAATTATTTGGATCATTAATTTAATTATATTTGCATTTTATTGATATTGTTTAGAATAAGATCACAGCATCCAGAAGTATTTACTAATCTAAGCACATATTATAAAGCAATTCAAATGTTAACAACATATCATTATCGGTTACCTTCACGAAGGCTCATAAGTGAATTGTTTGATGTGGATTTCACTTCAGAAGCGCTTGAAGATCTTGATAGGTTAGTAGAAGCACAGCAAAATGATGAGTTAAATGGAATATCAGATGAAAATTCAGATGATGGTAATGCGGAAGATATTCAACAAAATGATAAAAAGTTCACGAGGACACATCGTGGTAGTGATGGCGTAATCGCTGTAATGTCCGAAGATCAAAATGATATAAATGCTGAAGAAACTGTGCCAAAACAAGCACTATTGCCTATGTTGGTTATAAAAGGATTTAGGGTCTGAACTCCATTTACATTGTGTTGATTTTTGTATTATAATTTCTACTATCTATTTTCTATTTATATTTATTTATTTATCTTTTTACATCTTGGACTTTACTTTGAAGATTTTGCTTTGTGATTATATAACACATGCTAATTTTTATGCAAAATATTTAGAATATTTACAAAAAAAGATTATTACAGCAAATATCTTGTATTACTGCAATAATTTTGATTTGTAATTTTTTTTGTAATATACTAAAAATTATACCAGATATGTAATAAAGTTATTTCTTTGTTAAGAAAATGGAATAGATTTATTGCCATAAACCTCTTTTAAATAGTTGCTTTTTAATGAAAATTTCATTTTTTGACAAAAACCGAATATAAATGTTTACTACTACACTTTAATTTCTATTTTTTTTTTGTACGACATACTTAAAGTCCTATTCGGTATTCCGTATACCAAAGTTTAAAATGGATTTCTCATCAGATGAAAAAAACGAATTAAGTGCATTCAATTAACTCGTGAGTGTCTCACAATCATTTGACTTAATGTTGTAATCAAGCTTTTTAATTGTACAATAACATACAACGCCGTTTCATAAGTATTTTGATCATCAATAAGTTCTTAATATGTGCCACACGCTTAATTTATTACGTAATTAAAATCAAAGATGCTTCGCAAAGTACGTGTAAAAAAAATCAAGGTCTTAAAACGCCCAACGGGGGGATCGAACCCCCAACCTTGAGATTACGATGGTTTTCGTAAGAGTCTCACGCTCTACCGATTGAGCTAGCCGGGCTTTATTCGTGCAAAGCCTCCTAAATTGACTTATTTAATTAACTATTAAAAAAGGTTCTTGTAGAGGCTTATTTCTCCGTAAAACCGATTCCATAATATTAGTTTTTTTTGATAATGTTTTTAAAAAATAAATAAAAAGTCAAGAAATTTTGTTTGTTCTGGAACGCGAATACTGAAAATTTCTTGATCACGTGATGCATTATTGCGGCGGCTAAGAGATGATTTATCACATGATTTTGACACGTTTTCTAGTTGGCAAATTTCATCTCATTGTGAAGTTTTAACTTTTTTAATTACTTTAGTTAGAAACGTTTTTTAACGCTTCTTTTCTTACTTCTCTATTTTTCTTTGGATCTTGGATAAGTTTCGAAGTTATAAAGTTTTAAAAATTCATTATTATAATTATTATTATATTATTGTTTTTTAAAAAAAAGAAATGTTATTGATATTTCTATTTCTTCTTTAATTGCAGGTTTCAAGTTAGAGATGAGTGAGTTTTGTAAGTTTCAAAGGTACCATTCAAAACTTCACTCTTTTTTATAGAAACCTTTGATGTTTTTCAGGCTCTGGTCATATAATAGAACATTTAAGAATCACAATAATATATTTTACGATTTGTACGGTGTTTATAAAAGAGTATTTTATTGTGGTTTGTATATACTATATAATGTAATGTGATAAGTTTACAGTACATTATATGTTGTTAGCAAAGTAACAAATTTGACTTATTGTTTTACATTTTTTTAGTTAGCAAGCGATTAAAATTCTTTTCATATTGCGCCGTATAAAAAGTTAATAGAATTTAACAATAAAGTATTAATAAGTAGGTAAAATTATACAGACACACATTATTTTTTTTTAACGTAAAGCAGTAACTTCTGATTCATTAATACGCTTCTAACCAAGTCTAACCCAAATTGTTGAGGTGGTTGACTATGTTAGTTTGATTAGCTTTGACATTTCTTGAGGCATTTTTTTTTGAAATTAACGAGGATAATCAAAGTATCTCCCGAATTCACAAAGGCGAACGTCAAGGACTTTACCAATGGTCAATGGAATTTCCTACAGCTCAAATCCTAGAAAAGAAAAAAAGTTTAGAGTTATATGCGTTTTTTTTTTTTTAACAAACATTCTTACTACATTAAGAATAATTTGATAAGAGTGATAATAATGAACGAGTTCTAGTTTTTGAAAAAAGCTAGAGAAAAATTGTATTGATGAAATTTAGCGATAAATCGACGGTAAATATCTGACTCCTTAAAAATTATAATGGTGCGTAGTAACTAAATCATGAACTAGTATTAGAAATTATAAAAATATTAAAAACCATTCAAGATTTAGAATCCGTCATTAATTATGTTTCACGGCTGCGCCGTGACCTGCGTAAATCATGTGATTGTTGCATAGTCGTAAAAACTAATATTTGAAGACATTTGTTCACTTTTAAAGAAAAATTCATTGTTTTTATAAAAGCGAAGATTTCATTGGGTCAATTAATTTATTGATATCATTATTCATACATTAAAACGGTAAAGCAGAAACTTAAAGTGTTTCAGCCTAAAAAAAAAAGGTATGGAAACCCTGATTACCACATCACAGTCATTACAATTTTGGTAACAAACCTGATTTTTTGGAAATAATTTATGACAATATGAATGAGATATGTTAAGAAATATTGTTTCGCTATAAATATAACAAAAAAAAAAAAAAGAATTTTATTTTTATTTTTTATTTTTATTTTTTTCTTTGATACATTTCTTTAATGGAACTTTTGAAAATTATAATAAATTCATCCTCATTATAGAAATATTCTCTTCGTTATAGTTTATAAATTATTAAAAAGATAATTCATTAAATTTCATTTTACGTAATAATAATATTCTTAATATTTTGATATCAGTTATTTATCGTCGATACACGGTATTTCCGAATTTTATTTAATAGTTTTACGATGGTTAATTATATAACAAGTAACCAACCATTTTCTGCCGACGGCAATTATACGTCAATAATTGAAAATTTTAATAAGTGGTCGTAAAAAAGAAGTACAAATACGTGAAGATTTCTTCGAGTTGATTATGTTAACTTCCTAATAACACAATATATATCAATTAAACGTTGTATTGTATTGATACCTAAAATACTCAAGCACATGAAATGATGGATAAATTTACCCGATTTTAAAATATTTTTCCTTGTTCTACAAGATTAATTAGAGACGGAAAAGGGGAAATATTACAATTTAACAAAGATCTAACAAATATTAACGTATGGTGTTTTAATGTTATGTGATAATAAATTAAAGGATGAATAAATATCCTACGAAGACGAAAAAAAAAAACACCAATCAGTCAATAAACATGGTTTATATAACTATAAGAAGATAACAAGAAAGATCTTGTTAAATTTAAAACGCTATAAACGCAATATAAATAATACGTGATGATGAAAAAGAAGATTGAAATAAGAAAAAAAAAACCGTTAATTCAAAGTATTTATGGACATAATGCACATTTATAAGTAAAATTTTTGAATTACTACGATATTACAACATTAAAAGCTGCATCGGAAAATTCTAATCTTGTTAAGGGCTTTTATTTCTTTGTGTCGATTCCTTTGTTCACGATGCGTACATCCTAATTATTTCACCTGACCACTTCATCTTGATTTGACAACGTAAATTTTTGTACGTTCACAAAGTTTTATTTTATGATAAAGTTCCACATGAAATATTTAAACATTGAAACATGTACTGTCCTTATTACGGACTAAAAATCACATGATCGTCAAGAAAGAACGAACAATAGTAAATACTATTTTTTCAATTTAAGTAATTTAATTTTTGCAATTAGAAAACCTAAAATGAATTAAATCACTCTCCGAATATATTGTTATAATCTATTAATATATTATATTAATTAATATACATTATATAAGTGACCAATTGTTATTTTAAAAAAAAAAAGGTTTAAAAATACTGATGTGTTGTGATAATGTGATAAAATCGAAATGGTGATAAACTGATAAACATACTAATCTGGTGGTGTTACAAGTAATATGGAACGCGTATATAGTCGATCTAATTGAAGAAACTTGTTATATACATATACATATAAGTATATAATGTCTACAAATAATTTATTTATTTTATTAAAAAAAACCTAATCTTTACGTAATATTAATAAATTTGGATAAATGAATAAAGTTAATGAGTAATACAAATTTGGATATAAAATAATAAATAATACAATAAATTAGTACATATATATCATCAGATCTCGCGTCTGATAAAACATAATTCGTATATAATAAAATAACAATAAAGATGAGAATAATATTATTTGGTAAACACGTAACAATCTTCACATATATCGGGATATGCCCTGTTGGTTTCTTTGTGTATTATTGATACAGTATATTACTGGTTCATTTAATCACAACAACTGGTTTTTTAAGTTAGTTACATTTATTTTGTGATTTTTTCTCGGAATCGGAAGAAATTATTCATATGAATTTCCTTCGATGGGAATGATGGATGTTTCATTATTAACTTGTTTTGGTTTTTCCGTGAGTTCCCATTCCCCTTCCACCAAGGGTCCTTATTTTTTTTCCTCATTTGAATCTCTATTTCTAGACTTCTAGAGTTGAGACACGTACAAATTATTTATGATAAATAATCTTATCGATAAAAACATTAACATATGATTCTTACAAACGATAAAAAAAGTTAATATTTTGATCAAAAAAGTTAAACAAAAGAATTCGCGCCATATATCTCTGATCCAAGTGGCTTTTTTTTTTGTAATATATTTTAATAAATGTGATTTTTGTGATTTCTTTGCGTGATTGTTCGTGACTGTTTTTTTTGTGCACTTGTGATTTCCCAAGGACTTTTTTTTCATTTCTCATTTATTAATTCCCAATAACTTGGAACCTGGATTTATATGCAATAAATTGGGGCAAAAGAATTTGTATAGGAATTTTTACGGCTAAAATTTTTAAATCTACCGGCAACTTATTCCTATGATTTTCATGGGACTTTATTTCTTGCGTATATTTTGTGCTATAAAATCTTGTTAATGTGCACCCGTGAATATTTCTATCAAATTTATTAAGAAATAATGTGATATGTAAAATAAAGAAATTTTGGAACATGATAAAAAATCTTAATATATATATATATATAACACGATCCTCAAGTTTTACAAATATTCAACAATATAAAATTGCCATATTGGGAATTTTTTTTTTTCAAATTCTTTGAATTTCCGACATTATATATCAATCAGCTGATTAATTATAGTTTCGAACATGACATGGTTAATTATGGTTTCGAACATAATAAATGTCAACATTCATAGATTAGCATTTATTGTCAGCGAAGTAACTGATGAATTAACTGCCGGCGAAATGACCTTGTTACCAATATTGTCGGTGAATTATTTGTCGATAAAATGACTATCGATGAAATGAACCGAACTTTCAATAGTTAGGAAACAATTTATTAACAATTTTTTTTTTTTTTCTTTTGGGAAAGAACATTCCCTCTAAATTAATTTCATTACAAATTTACTTAACTAAATCATCGAATAAAATCAATATATTCGATATAGATTTGAGGAAGTCTGTGTGTTACATCAATTATTAATGAAATTTTTTCATTCGTTTGTCACTTATTATATTATATATTTCACATGCTACCACGATTTGAAGATAAATTTCTTGCGTCATTCAGGATCACAAATAAAAATCTTATCATAAAAGTATAATAATTTCTTTTTCAAAGATAAAAAATTACCTAAAAAATATAAATTAAACCTTTTTCGCGTAACGCTATTAAGATTTTGATAATCAGCCTCACTTTTTAGTAATTGTTATAAATGAACCCTGATTTGGTTGATTAAGTGGCAGAAACCTTCACCAAAATTCTTTGTTTTTTAAGGCTTATGTGTCTTGCATGGTTACAATAATCTATTATTTCATATCACTTCAGCATACAGA